GCATCTGAAAATGGAATGCAGATGCCGCTGGTTTGGATTGGACGCTGAGGCCCTGTAGCCATTCCCAGGTTGGGCCACTCTAGACTTCAGAGCCCTGGAGCTGACCCCTCCGCACAGTGTCTTCACTCAAGGCCGTGGGCCCAGTGGACGTGCATAAGCCGAAGGTGGGAGGGCCACTCGGGGTCTGCTGCCTGGGCTGTGACGTCACGTTTTCCCTGCAGGGAGTTCATCAGGGTGGTTCATCGGAGACCCTGAGGGGAGCGGAGGCCAGAGGAAGTGAATGGCCGGGAGGTTGGTTGACACAGCTCAGTCCTGACTTTGGAGGGCTGACCCCGCCTGGCGCAGGCTGTTTATCCCGCCACTGGCCACTGTTGTTTTTTTTATTTTTTTTTTTTTTATCAGATCTCCACCTGAATAAACAGATCCCGCCGACGTCCTCTGCAGCCAGGCTGAGGATCTGCCAGGATTCCTCGGGGAGCCCTGATTCCCGAGCAGAGTGTGTGTGTGTGTGTGTGTGTGTGTGTGTGTGTGTGTGTGTGTGTTTTGGGGGGAGGGCGGTAGGAGGGGAGAGGGAAGGAGGGAGGGAGGGAAGGAAAGAGAGAGGGGTGGGGGGGGACCTGTTCATTCCAATTCCCACTTCCTGTTCAGCAAATAACCCAGGCTGGGCCGGTTCTGTGAGGCACTGGTTTCTTGGATCAAATGATGGATTTGTGCAATAGAACAGATGGTTGTGCTTTCCTTTTTTAAAGAAGATGAATGTAAAGGAAGCTAGTGAGAGGATGATACTCTCGGCTGTCTTTTGGAGGAAGTACTTTCCTTCAGGTTGGCCTGGAAAGTTCTTTTTAAAACCTCCCTCTCTTCATCTTTAAGGTGCATGCGGGCACTGGTCTTCACCCGGTACATGCCATTTACTTTTTGCCAAGTTGGGATTTAGAATTAGTAATTATATATGTTTTTTCCCAGTGTGTCGCTCATTAGGTCTCCAGTCATATAAAATGATTCCATCTGTCAATGAACAAGATATGATTGAGCGTGGCTTTGCTCAGTGGCCCAGGCTTGTTCCTGTGCTCTTTGTGGGGCGGAGTGAAGAAAGAGAGTGCAGATGAATGAAGTAGCATGAGACATGGCATTTGGGTCAGATGGCTTTCGGACTCCTTTAAACTGCGGGGAATTGGTTTAAAGGAAAATAGCCAGTTCCAGGGAACTGCGGGGAGGACGAGGGACGGTGCGCTCTGCAATAGGGAGGCGTTAAATCAGAGGCAGAACGTGGTTCCCACACGGGGCCAAAGCTGCATGGGCCCTAGAATTGGAATCCAGGTTCCTGCCCCAGAAGTCCAAACAGGTTGCTACAGTGTGGTCCAGGGGCCAAACCTACTAGTAGCTTTTGTCAATAGAGTTGTACCGGAGCACAGCCACGCTTATTGAGGTGTTGTCTGTGGCACTTTTCCTCCAACATTAGAGGTGAGGAGTTGGGTGGATACTGCAATGACCCACAAAGCCTGGCCCACGGGAGGCTACACCTGCCGATGTCGGGAGCCAAGTACAAGCCATGTGACCTGACCCTGCCTCCGTTGGCCCCCTCGCTCCTGCTTCCTGGCTGTTTTCTGTGACCTGAGATCTTTTCCACGCTATAAGGGAATACCTTGAAAAGTGGAACAATCACTCATGATAAAAAGTTTTAAAAGTTGGTTCAAATGCCTCTGCCTATCCTTCCAGTCTAATTTAACGTCGGCCCAGAAAATGTAGCCATGTGGCCAGAGCTTACCTTGCCAGAGCTTCAGTCTTTGAAGATTGGTTTTATTTTTGAAGCCTCGAACAGGTGTTGGCTCTGTTAGGCTCTCCTCGCCCAGAGGGCAGCCTGCGGGGAAGCCTGCACAAGGCCGAGTGAAGGCCACGTGTTCTGGCCACACGCTCCCCTGCCCGTCACTACAGAGCCTCGTGCTGTGGGTGGGGGAGGCTTCTGCTCCCCGCCCCTCCCCTCCCGCCCCCACTTTTCTGTAAGCCTAGGCCATCACTCTGACCCCTTTCAGAGACAGACGTGAGGACACCGCCTCGGTGGGTCTGTGCTCCGCTGCCCACCAGGGGTTTGTGAAGAGAGCTGGAGCCTCACTTCCTCAGGCTGTGCTGCGCTGCTCAGAGCCTCTGCGGGCTGGCCGCTCCCACAGGCCGGCGCGGGCACAGGCGAGGTCTGGGTTGACCAGGAAGCAGGAAGCTGGTGTTCAGGTCTAAGCAAGCTGTTTGGAAGGTTTAGGGGCTGGGGAGCCTCTCGGATGGGCTGTGGGTGGGCCTGCTGCCCTGGCCTTGTGTGCTGGCTCCTTCACTTCCCATCTGTGACTCTGGCAAATCCCAGCTGCTCTGAGCCTGTTTCTCCAACAGAGAGGCCAGGAATGGGACTAGGACACACCTCACGCGCGCATTCGCTGCGTCGGCCCAGCCTGCTGCCTGCAGGTGTTCAGTTATTGGCCAGCTTTGCTGTAAGAACACAGACGGGTTCAGAGGTTCGGAAGATGAGTGTGCACCTTCTTTGGTTTTGTTGGTGATTTTGAGGCCCCACCATATCACTTTCTGCAGCAGTCCCCCGAGTTTCGGTTTCTCCACAGCCCTAACGATCGTGGTGCTGATCATCTTTTCATGTGCTCTTGGCCATTGGTGAGCCTTTTCTGGGGGGAAGCATCCATTCAAGTTCTCTGCTCATTTTGTAATCAGGCTGCCTGGTGGTGTTGAGGGCGGGGCTGTCTGTATAGTCTAGAAGCAGCCACTCCCGGATAGGTGGCAAGTGGGCGAAGACTCACGTGTGGCCTTGTGGCCTGCTCACCTGGTTATCCTGATGCCTGCAGATTAGAGCACAGGGCGTCCCATTCAGTGCCCCTCTGTTGCCATTTCCTATGGACCTCCCCTCCTTCTGTCTCATGTCTTTTTGCGTCTGTGTTGCCCCTCTCCTGGCACTGTGACATGATTCCTGCTCATCAGCCTGATCCAGAGGCATTGCCTCGCCTGCCCTGCCAGCGCCAGGACCCCCTCTGCTCTGCCCTGCTGCATCCCTGTCTCCGGCGTCGGCATCCTGCCCTCCCATAGGGTACCAGCACCCTGGTCTCCAGGCACATTTTTCCTGCCTCTGTATCGCCCAGGCTCCTCTGCCCGCTCTCATCTCCATGGCGCCTCACTGTTCCGTTCCCTCAGGAGCTCTGCCAGCTCCCAGCTAGTCCGCACCCCCCAGCGCGGGGCCCGGGGCGTTCCTGGCTCAGTGAGAAAACAGGCTGACCGGACGGGAGGTGTGTGTACGATGAAAGGCAGTGGAGGCAGGGAGAAGTGTGGGTTCCAGCAGCCGCCCGTGGCCCCTCCACTGTGTGCGGCCCCCTCTTTGTTTCCCTTCAGGCCCTGGCACCCCTTTCCGTCCTTTCAGAGGCGTCCTGGCTCCCACAGTTCCCGGGAAGGCAGGCTCTGCTGCCTTTTCCTCTCTTTTTCCCATACTTTACATAATAAAGGTTCCCTTTTCTTTTCTCTTACCCTTTCTTTTCCTTTTTGAGTCAGAAAACTGCAGAGACTATCTTCACTGAGAACTTCATAATAAAGAACTCAAAGAGCTTGGCGGGGGCAGGCGGGGGCGTGAGGGGAAGAAGCGGTCTTTCATTCTGGAGATTCCCTGGGTGTGGAGCTGAGCCTTGTAAGGGCCGTGGGTTCAGAGCCTGGGAGAGTGGTGAGGACACAAAGGAGGGGTGAGAGGCCCCGGGCTTCTGGGAAGAGGGCCTTGTTCACGCTGCTGGAGCAGATTTGGTCCAGGGTTTGTTTAAAGGAGATGCCACTTGGTAAGCAGCGCCTGGCTGTGTGTGTGTGTGTGTGTGTGTGTGTGTGTGTGTGTGTGTGAGAGAGAGAGAGAGAGAGAGAGAGAGAGAGAATGTCTGATGGCTGCGGCCCTGACACTGCTGACTCCAAGCCTGGCCCAGGGTCGCCGGGACCTAGAGCCAGGGCTGCCCCCGCCACACGGGTGTCTGAGCCTCGATGAGACTGCCAGGCTGGGCCGGGTCCACGCACGGCCGCCCCCTCCAGCCTTGCTTTCCATGGACTGTCTTTCTCCCGATGAATAAACACTGGCCCGTTGATCAGACTGTAGCTTTGTCAGAAACAGAATTAAAGGTGCGTTTGAACCACTGTGGTTAGACACCTTTCTCGGAGGGGGTGCAATACGGAATCCTTACGCTAACGTCTGCACATGTTTCCGTGTGGGTCAGGGTGGATCATCATGTCCCCAGAATGAGTGGGGAACTGGGCCACTGGCCAGGTGAGTGGTGGCGTCAGCACAGAGGAAGAGAACAGGGAAGGCCTGGGTGCGAGGCGGCAGCTGCAGGGCATCGCAGGGCCGAGTGCTCTGGGCTGAGATGTGGAGCCCACATTTCCAGGCATGGAAGCAGGATCAGTGACCAGGGCTAGAGGCAGAGGGCGGAGTCAATCTCGTTAGATCCAGTGCCAGGTTCCTGATCTCCTGGGAGATTTTGTCTTTTTAAAAAATCCCTTGTGCCTATCTCCACGCCGGGCACATGGTAGGTGTTGGTAATATGTGATGAGTATAATGACGTGTTGGGATGGATCAAACTGGCTGTGGACTCTGGTGCCTGCAGCCCTGTAAGTGGGGATGGGGATGCGAGGGGGTTGTACGAGGGCCTGAAGGTTTGAGAGAAACACTGGGACACTGGGAACTGGCTGGTCGCACGGGCGCTGGCTGACGGGAGGGCATCAGCGAGCCCCGGGTTCTGGTCGTGCCATGCGCTCTGCGGGTATCTGAAGTGTCCCCTGTGTTCGTGCCCTGTGGGGAGCAGCCTGGGCTAGGAACTCAGACAGACGTGGGTGCTCTGAGGGAGAAGAGGGGACTGCACTTGGAGTGTCACTGCGTTTGTAATTTTCTGAGAGCAAAACAGTAAAAAATGTGTCTAAACGAAGTGGTGGGGAAAGTACTTGTTTCTGTGCAAGAAGGCATGCTTGAGTGACCGCCCTCTGTGTTTCAGGCAGCACAACCAGATCCGCAGCGTGGAGGGCAGCCAGCTGATGGCCTACCGGGCGCTGGAGGTGCTGGACCTGAGCTGGAACGACCTCACGGAGGTGCACAGCGCCTGCTTCCTGCAGGGACCGCCGCTAAAGGAGCTGTAAGTGCCCCCGCGCTGCGGGCGCCCGGGCTGGTGGCAGGGAGGGCGCTTCCTCTTCTCAGCCGAGGCCATGGGCCTGGCACAGAGCTCCTTGTGCGGCCTCTGCAGGGCCAGGGCCGGGCGCCCAGGGCTGTGTCCTGTGTGGGAGAGTGTTAGAATCGGACAGGCAGCCGAGGCCGGGGGGCATACGGGTGAGCTTAGACTCACCACTCAGAGGAGATTTGAGCCTCACATACAGGCCTGCCCTGGCTACAAAGCCGCTCTCTTTCCCGCTTATGGGGCTGCCTCCCAGGAAGGCGGAGAGGAGAGGTGCCAGCGCCCGAGGAAGGACGACGGACCTCTGTGAGGCGGCCTGTCCTGTCCGGCGCGTCTGTCTAGCACCACGCACTATTGAGACGCTCACTGGTGCTCCGTGCTGTGGGTTCTCAGAACTGGCTGGGTTTTGCTGTCAGGCTGTTTTGCTTTTACCCACCTTAAGGCGCTCTCTCATACCATCGGACGGCAGATGGGAGGAAAGTTAAAACCTGTTTAACCCACTGCCTGTTGGTGGGAAAAGGCTGCTTTGGGGAGAAACTGAAGGCCCTGGCGGAGGGACACGTTCTGATGATGTGCGAGTGCACTCCCACCCTACTCTGTCCTGACACACTGGAGACCGTCTGCGAGGCTGGATGGGTCACAGCAACCCATCTGCTCGCGCGGCCCAGGCTCGGCACGAGCATTTTCCAGGCCCGCAGGGAGCTGAGAGGTTTCTCTCAGGCTGCACTGAGGCCCAGGACTGAAAATGGAGGGTCAGGGTGGAGCCCAGGGCACAGGCAGGCTCTGCAGAGCTGCCCCCCACTGGACACCACCTTGTGTGGAACCAGGACACCACCTGCTGAGCGGAGTGGCAGCGCCTTCTCTCTGCCTGAGCGCAGGGCGCTTTCCCTTGGCACACGGGGCATGTGCCTTTGCCCCAGACGTCCTTTATCCCAGAGTGATGGGAAGAGCCATCCAGCCCATTTGCACAAGATCCTCCTGTGCCCTGTCCTGTCCTGGCCTGGTGGAGCGCGAAGATGCCTGTTCCCTCCCTCCCTGTAGAAAGTTCTCTAAGCTTCCTCCTTTGGCTTAAGCCACTCAAACCCGTGTTTGTTCGGGGAATCGGAAAGGTAGTGGTAGTGTCTCATGGGAATCTCAGTGTCCCCCCTTTCTGTCTTTTCTCCTCTTACCGCTCTGTCAGTGTGCACAGTGGGACCACAGAGGCGGGCTGTGGGCTGCCGTGCACTGGGAGGGGACGTGTCCTTACACGTGTAATCCTGGCAGTGGCTCCCATCGCCGTGCGACTTGTGTTCTGAAGGGATTCTGGGCCAGCCTCGTTAACTGGAGCATCTTTGATAGATTTAAAAAGGTTCCATGAATGGGTTTGTGCACATTCATTACATAAGCCATCCAAGACCCACTTCAAAATTAAAGGCTGTTTCCCCAAATGGTGACATCCACTTGGGCCTTGCCTCACAGTGACTTTCTGCTTCCTGGTGCTTCTCTCACCCTGAACCCTCACCTCGGGTTATGGGTGCCGAGAAGGAATCATGCAGGTGGCTCTGGAGGTGGCAGAACCCAGCAGGGATGGGGTGTAAGGTGCCAGAGATGGCGGTGCTTATTTCCACTGTCACCTCCTGGAGTCACCCACTGGCTGCAGTGCATGGCTCCAGACAGACACAGCTCTGTCCTGCGTGCACGATACTGTCCCCTCCTCACTGGCTGTCTTGTGGGGAGTGCTGTCCCCTCCTCACTGGCTGACCCGTGGGGAGTGCTATCCCCTCCTCACTGGCTGTCCCGTGGGGAGTGCTGTCCCCTCCTCACTGGCTGTCCTGTGGAGAGTGCGTGGATGACAGTGTCTCAGGAGACCTGTGTCACTGGGGTGGCGGCTTATTTTCTCAGGCTGGCGGGTCTGCTGTTCGTAACAGAACAAAAAAGGCCTCCTGCTGACCGCTGTATTTTCTCTCCCGGATCTTTCCAGCAACCTGGCAAGCAACCGGATCGGCACCCTGGAGTCCGGAGCTTTTGATGGTCTGTCACGGTCGCTGCTGACGCTTCGCCTGAGCAAGAACAGGATCACCCAGCTTCCTGTGAAAGCATTCAAGCTGCCCAGGTTGACACAACTGTGAGTGTAGAAACCCACATATTAATTCAGGTCACAAACCTGATGGAGGCCAAACCTCCCCAAGGACCTTGGTCAGATGCAGCTCCTTCCTCGCTCCGGGCCCAGCCTGCGTGAACAGCCCGCAGTGACCCAGTGGCGACACCAGTCACAGCAGACTAGACGCTGGTCTGGTGCCTACGGCTCTCAGGCCACCAAGACCCACTGAGATTGGAGGGTGCTACCTGTGGCCACTCCAGAGCACAAGGAGGACTCCTGCTTGCTAGCCACATGGGTGGGGCTCAGGCTGCGGGGGCTCCTTATTGGTCGTGGAGGTTCTGTCTTTTTAAAGGGACCATGCAGTCTGTGCCAGGGCGTCATGGTGCCCAGCGCGGGGGCAGTGTGAGAGAAGTTAGTGTAGCTGGAAGGAGTCCTGAGCAAGAGAGGGCTGTCGTCTTCATGTCCTAGTTGGTGGATGATTTATCTTTTCTGACGAAAGGATTTCTTTATTTAGTTTTTGATGACCAAGGCCCGTACCCTCTGGGAATGGTCCCGAGTTTGGAGTCCAGAAAACCTCTATTTTCAAAACCTGATGGAGTATTTGTTCTAGGTTTATTTCCTGTATCTTCTTTGCAGCAAAAGAATATATCTCAGGAAAATAAGCCACTACTGGGATTTTGTTTAAACAGAGAAAAAAACAGGTGTTCAGAGCTAGGTGTGACAGCAGGATGGGGTGTATCCCGCGCTGCTTCTGCCTGGCTTCACATGCACCCTACTAGCGCCCGGCTTCTGCCCTGCATCCCAGGTCCTGTTCCTCTGCGGGTCTGTGTGAGGCAGACCATGAGGTTCTGCCCCAGTATTCGGGGAAAACCAAGGGCTTTCTGATGAGCCTGTGTTCCCTGTCCTTCCCACCAGGGCTGCTGCTGGACCCAGCCCCCAGATTCCTGAAATCTTGCGGCTACTGAGGTTTATCACACGGGCAGGAAGCCAAACACATGCTCCGTGGCATGCCCAGTGCCCTCACTCCTCGTGGGCAGTGACGGCTCTCTGTGACGGGAGAGCTGCGAGTGCTTCCAGTGGGCAGTATCACTCCTGTTTGGTCTCGGTGGTTAGATTTTTCCTGGTGAGGCGTCTGGTGTGGGTTTCTGTTGCTGAGCCGAGGCATCTCACCTGGGAAGTTTGCATCCTGAGTCCTGCCCCCTCCTCGCTGCAGACGGCCATCACGGAGGAATGGGTACCCTAGCTCAGGAGCGCTCCCTTCCTCTGTTCCTCAGCTGGGGCCGGGCAGTGCCGGGGCTGCCTGGTGGGCGCCTTGCACACCAGCTCCACCAGGACCCCCACCCGGATTTTCCCTGGAAACTCAGCAGTGGCTGTGGGCTTGGCTGCAGGTGAGGGGTCATGCCAGCTGCTCTGAACCCACCGGCTTTGTCTCTTTAGGGACCTCAATCGGAATCGGATCCGGCTGATCGAGGGCCTGACGTTCCAGGGGCTGGACAGCTTGGAAGTGCTGAAGCTGCAGCGGAACAACATCAGCCGGCTGACGGACGGGGCTTTCTGGGGGCTGTCCCGGATGCACACGCTGTGAGTGCGCGGGCCGCGCCGGGGGGGCCTGTGGTCTGTCTGCATCGCCCTCTGCCCAAGGGCCGTTATGACTTCGCCGGGGCCTCACGCCATGCTTTTGGGGGCTCCAGATAAGGTGTTTCCCTGGAAGATTAGGACAGTCTCGGGGCAGTTTAGTGGATTTGGTGAGAACATTAGGTAGTGAAGACAGGGGCCATCCTTCTGGGGCTCCCCCTACTTCGCTGCTCTCCTCCTATGGCCTCCCCCACCCCACACCCTACAGAACGTCCCCTTTCCGATTGGGCTCTGACAGTCTGATGTGCGGGTGGGCCAGCATGTCCAGCTTGTCCTGGGAGATGCTCGTTTGGTGAGCTCATCGGCAGTGGTGCAGCTGCCCCTTTGTCCAGGGAACAGATGTGCCCGTCACTGGCCGTGCCGCCGCCAAGTCACGCAAAACCGCAAGAGCATTCAGCAAGGGCAGAGAAGGCAGCTGCCCTGCCTCTGTTTTCGGACATTTAGATGTGTCGGCTCTTCGTCAGAAGAAGCCTGCCTCGCAGTTGACCACGTGCTCAGACTGGGAGGAAGGCATGTTGTCCAGCTCCTGCCCGCGTCCCCTCCCTGCTTGTGCTCCCAGAGGCAGTCATGTCTCTTTCTCTGCTGAGTTTTCCTGGTTGTCTCCTGCTGGTGGCTGTGCCACGTTAGACATTTGACCGCTGTCGGTTTGTCAGTCTGAGATGTCCTACTTTATGGTCAGTGGTTTCACTTGTTCAAGACACTGTCCTGCTCCCTCCAGTCTCCACACATGACGTGACTGTGTTTTTTATTAGTTTTTTTAATTAGTTTTCTTTGCAACTAAAACAAAAACAATTCTAGTTCCTATTCCATCGTGCTGTCTCTCAATCATGCCTTTCACATTCACACATACATACTTTTACACATTCACATACACACACACACATATACACACTGTCACATTCACACATACACATATACTCACACATTCATATACATACACACACATATATTCACATTCATATACACATGCTGACACACTCACATACACTCATATACACATTTTAACATTCACACACACATATAACACAATTACTCTTACAATTCACACACACAAACACATATATACATACTGACATACACTCAAACATATACATACTCTCACACATACGTATATACTCACATACATGTACACATGGCTTATACTCACACACGTACTGACACATACATTCAGATACTCAAACACATACACATAACTCACACGCACATAGACACATACACTCAGTCACATACACACATATGCCCCCCCACATATTCACCCACATACATGCACTCACGCATATACACACTAACACATGCACACACATATAAACACACACATACATGTACTCACACACACTGAGGATGTGCTTCTTCCTCTCTCCTATATCTGCCTTGGACTGGGTGTACCTCTGTTTTTACATATTTAAGTACACTTTCACTTGACATCTTAAAGCTGTCATTTTAGACTTTGACATCTAGGTGGTTGTGTGCTGGGTGGGCTGAGCTGAAAGAGAATTTGCAGGAAAGTGCAGCGTGGTTTTCATGTTGAACAAATGCGCACACGGTGGGTGATCAGCTGCCTGAGTTAGTTGTAAGCGTTGTGCTTCCTTTTGTGCAGCAGCAGCAGGTGGGTGGATAACGGCGGATGTGGCTGCCCAGGGTCCTGGTAACATGAGGTGGGGCAGCATGTGGGTGATGCTTCTGTTCCGGGTGAGGCTGTGCAGGCCCAGGATGCAGGCCAGGAAACCGGTGGCAGTGTCCTGGCTTCCTCTTGGCAGAAGCGCGAGCTTCCAGTGCATGCTGAATTTTCTCGTGTCCCTCTCGGCAGCCCTGTGGAGTAGTTCTCTTGGGTACCTCCATTTTCCAGATGTCCAGGTCATGCAGCTCACAGAGGAGCAAAATTGGGATTTAAATCCAAGGGGTCGCCGCCAGAGCTAAAGCTGTTTCTCTGGAGGTTTCTTCCTCTGTAAGGTTTTTCTTTCATGGGCTCTGTCTGCCCTCTGTGTGCAGCTCATCTGCCCCTCTGTGTGCTTGCTTCTGAATCTGGCCTGGACACTCACCATCATCTGTTTGGGCTTTCCTGTCTTGAACTACACGTATGCGTACACATGCACGCACACATGTACACACTTATGTACTGTTATTGGGTCCTTGGTGCCGACCAGAGTCTCTGCGGTGTCGGGTCCTGGGCGCCAGCTCCTGCCCTCGCCGTGGGGTGTGGCCGGGGCCGCTGCCTCCATCACGCATGTGGCTGTCGTTGCAGGCACCTGGAGCACAACAGCCTGGTGGAGGTGAACAGCGGCTCGCTCTACGGCCTCACCGCCCTGCACCAGCTCCACCTCGGCAACAACTCCATCTCCCGCATCAACCGCGACGGCTGGAGCTTCTGCCAGAAGCTGCACGAGCTGTGAGTGTCACCCGCTGTGCGCTGTGCCATTAGACACTGCCTCCTGGCGTGGCTGGCGGCCTGGGCGTCCCACAGCTCAGTGGGCAGGTGGGCTCGGGCGGGCAGCTCAGAGGAGGCACTGGCTGTCAGCAGGGAGGCCAGGGCCCAGCACCAGGCCCGGAGCAGGACCCCGAGGCTGCAGACCTCGGTGGTTTGAGCTTGACCCTTCCTGCTCCCCTCCCTCTGTTCCCCAGAGGGGCCTGGGCCGCCTGGCTTGGAGAGGGTCCGGGCAGCCTGCAGGAGGTTCTCCTTGCAGCTGTTCAGAGCTGTTGCACAACACTGGCTACAAGGAGCACAGACTTCTTCCAGAAAGGGGCTACTGGGCTCAAACACAGAAAGGACTGTGGGCCTGAGAGATGGCGACAGGCTGAGGGACGAGTTACAGGCTCTCGCGGTCTCTGCCTTCCTGCGTAGCCAAGTCACCACTCTGGCTCCGCCCCTTCCTTCCCACCTGGTCCCCTGCCCTGGCCTGGAGGCGAGGCGCCTGTGCCTGTGACTGCGTTTTACTGAGACAGATGGCCCTGCGTCCCTCTGGGAGACTCCCCGACAGGCCTGGCTGGGCCCGGGAACCCGCGCTGGTGTCCAAGGTCCCTGAGACTGCGCGAGGCGGCCGGCCAGGGTGGGCGGCAGGGTGGACACGTCCCTACCCCGCTCCTGCCCCTGCCCCTGCCCCCCTCCCGCCCCAGCTCTAAAAGATGGTTGTTCTGAAGGAAGAAAGTGGATCCTCATTGCGTCTGTTACTTCAGCTTAACAAGTGCAAGGTTTCTTAGTCCCAGTCTTAGTTGAGGCCCCTTTCACCAGCTGCCATGGCTGATGCCCAGGAGGGGAGAGGGAACCTGGGCAACCTCAGTGACATTGCTTCCCTCCCCGTCTCTCCCTCCACAGGACTCTGTCTTTCAACAACCTCACGCGGTTGGACGAGGGGAGCCTGGCCGACCTCAGCAGCTTGAGCATCCTGCGCCTCAGCCACAATTCCATCAGCCACATTGCGGAAGGAGCCTTCAAGGGACTCAGAAACCTGCGTGTCTTGTACGTCTCACTGTGGGGGTGTTGGAGGGGCCCCCACTGGGAGGCAGGTGGGCAGCCAGCTGCTTGGTTGAGGCCCCTTTCACCAGCTGCCAGTCAGAATTGGACCCAGAACAGACCTATTCAGTGCGCAGTCTCACCCCTTTATATTATCAGCTGGGAAAGAACTGGTGCGAGTGTTGACCCGTGTACTGAAAGGTTGTGGGTTTGATTCCCGATCAGGGCAAGTACAGAAGGCAGCATCCAGTCAATGCTCTCTCACATAGATGCTTCTCTCTCTCAACCTTTCCCCCTCACTGAAAGTCAATTAGCTTGTCTTGGTGAGGACTAAAGAGAAAGGAAAGGAAAAGCATCTCTGGTTGGTGAGAGAGCAGATGGAAACCTGACTTAGTACCAGGCCAGGTGTCCGCAACCCCTCTTCTCGGCCCTGCCCACGGGGAGCAGCTGAGGTGGGGGAGCTGCTTGTTCAGCATGCGTCAGGCCTGCGGGAAGCTGGGAAGGCCAGGCTCACCACATGGCTCGGCTGCTGTGCCTCTCTCCCTTGAGTGTCAAGGCTGTCCTCCATCTCCTGTGAAGACGGAGCTGAGTGCGAGGTGGTGAGCTGTCTGTCTGTCTTCCCCAGGGACCTGGGCCATAACGAGATCTCGGGCACAATAGAGGACACAAGTGGTGCCTTCACGGGGCTCGACAGCCTCAGCAAGCTGTGAGTATGCCGATGTCTCCTGGTCCCTGGTCCCGGGGCAGCCAGGGAGGGCTGGCGTGCGCGCGTGCGTGTGTTCCTTTGGGAAGAGGAGTCTGAGTAGGAGAGAGGGAGGCGTACTGCCAGCTTCTCGGGCCAGGGCTCCTGTGGCCTGGGCGTGGCTTCTTTAGGGCTGAAGACCTGTGGAACTGATGTGAAAACAGCCAAGTCTTCCCTTGTTCTTTGCACAAAGGAGCCTGACCATTTCCTCAGTTTCTAGAAATGGTGTGCAATGTGGAAAGCGAGTCTTGAATTAGTATTTTTGTTGTCCATCATAATTTTTAAGAGTCATTTACAAGGGTAATGGAGTAGCTGCTCTTCATTCGAGGTGTCTGCTGTTTTGCTTTGTTCTGAGTTCCTAGACGTGGTCATTCTGTGAGGCCGTGCGTGTCACCTCTAACAGTCCCAAGGCAGGCTGTCTGCCGTGCGGCCTTTCTGCCGTTGAGGAAACAACTGGAGGGGTTTGCCCAGGACCGCGCAGCTGGTGGGTGGTGGGTGGCACTCACCCACGTGTCTCCCCAGCACTCTCTGCAGGAGCGGGGACCGGAGCAGTGATCACTGTTCGCCTGCCTCTCCGAGGGGGGTTCGGAGGAGGACAGACCGGGCCTGCGGCCTGAGCTGCCTCTGACGCAGGCGGGGGTGGGAGGAAGTAACATCCGGGAGCAGGGAGCAGCAGTGCGGCCCGGGGAGCCTGGGCAGGAGAGTGTAGTGAATGTTTCTGATGTGTCTTGAGAAGGAGTTGCATACCTTCTGTACTCAGAAGCTGTGTGGGCTGAGAACTGTGGCTCTCCTTGCATCCTGTGTTCTGACAGCTCGTCACAAATGCCAGTCAGTTCTTTTCCCGGAAAATGTTCCTCACCCCTCACCTGTCCCGCACCTCCTGGCCCCTTTCCCCATGACAGCACAGTGTGGGGGCTGCCTCCTCCGAAGCCCCTCCCTTCCTCCACAGCAGCCTGGCCTGGGGCTGTCCTCTGCAGCAAGCCCTGCCCCCACCCCAGATGTCTGCGGGAGAATGTGGGCCTTGTTTTCCTCTGCCCCCTGGGTGATCAGCCTGCATAATTGAGAACTTGAGAATTTGTTTTATTGCTATTGTCACCATTAGAAATAACAGCTTGCCCTCTGTAGAAGATGTCAGTGTGACGGGTGTTTAATGGATGAAATAATCACAGATTTCACCAGTCAGAACATTTGCTGGGACCTGGAGCTAAGTAATGCGAGGTGGGGTGCTTTGGGGCGAGGGGTTCAGTGCCAGGGTGCTGTTACTGCTCCGCTTCGGCGAGGGGGCCGGAGGAAGAGGGGAGGCCACTGGTTAGCGTGGCCACTGGCATCTGTGCACAGTTTATTTGGTGTAAATTATAAGCTGCAGATTGAGGTGGTGGACATCGGATGAGACTTCACATCTTTGCAGACTGCCTCCGGGAGAAAGGAGGGCAGCGGGGTCTTGGCCTCCCTGCCCCCGTCACCTCGGAGGCAGCCAGCAGCTGGCTGTGTCTGAGCTGCACTCAGTTGCTGGGGGAGGGGGTTCCTAAGCAGAGGCTCCTGCGGAGAGTGTGTTCCTGGCGGGCAGGGGAAGCCGCAGACGCGGGCTCACGGTGGCCAGGCAGCGGCGGAAGCAGCGCCGCCCCGGGGCTGGCGGCTGCGTCTGTCGTCTGTCGTGTCTTTCTGAAGGAGCACTGGGGCTTGCCACGTCCCCAGGGCCCTTGCAGTTCGGCTGGAGCTGGGCCCAACGCGCTGCCCGCGTCCTTGGATTTCTTCAAGGCTGTGTTTTCTGTCTTTCGTTCTTTCAAGGAGGTCAGGGCTTTGTTTTTCTAGTGGGTCCCAGTCTTCACGTAGGTCTGCAGGAGGAGCTGGCCTGAGTCGAGATCTTGCTTCTGATTCTCAGTGGATCTGGATGAGGAACTTCCCCCTTCCCCCTGCATGAGCCAGGCTGGCTTTTGCCTTCCCGCCCACCCGCCCGCCCAGGCGTGGTCCCCCAGGTCGCAGCTCAGATCGCCAGGGGCCCACTCCCAGCAGTCCCTCTAATGGGCCTGGGCTCCTGGGTGCTCGGAAGCCAGCGCCCTGTGCGTCAGGCTCTCAGCAGAGCGCCTAGTGACGAGGAGGGTACCCTGAGACTTGGTTCTTTTTGTTCTCTGCTGGAAGCAGGAGCCCCCAGGGTCCGGGCAGGAGAACACCTCTGCTGGGACGTGATGAGCCTGGTCCGTGGGTGCCGTTGACAATCTGGGTTCTTGCTCAGGAGGCCAGGGCGCCGTACCTACAGGCCCCGAGGGCTCCGAGGCAGGTCCCAGGTCCCAGGCCCAGGTGCAGACTAGGGCGCCAGCTCCGTGACCCTCCCCGGCCTCCTTGGGGAACCTCCATCCAGAATGCAGTTTCCAGTCGGTGGCATTTCGTTCTGAGTTTTCATTTCCATCTCTGACCGCGTCCTTGCTCCTCTGCGGCGACGGCTAACCTTCAGCCCCACCCTCGGGTGGTCCGCGGAGAGAGGCAGGCAGGACCAGGTGATTTCCACTTAATGTTTCGAGGGGCCTTTCTGGCAATTCCAGCCTGTCATCGCTGCTGAGTTCTAAGAAGACAAAGTCTTTCTTTTCCCAAAGCGAAGGCCTGTGCTCTTCAGCCCCATGAGCTCAGCGCAGGTCAGGTTTCCACCTGCCTGTCCCGGACACACTTACCAGGCAGCACTGCCCTAATTGTGTTCTCTTCCTCCCGTCCCTCCCTTCTTCTCCCCCACCCCACCCCACCCTCCACTCCCCCGTTTTGGATGTTTGGAAACTGCAGATCTCTGTCTGGAAACAAGATAAAGTCGGTGGCTAAGAGAGCATTCTCCGGACTGGACAGCCTGGAGCACCTGTAAGTACCTGGGCAGACCTTCCCTGCTGGCCACCAGGTGCGGCTTGGGAGCCGCTGGCCATTTCACCACGGTGATAAGCCGAGATGCCGGCGATCAGAAATGCCAGCTGCTTCCTTCTCGTTATGTCAGCTTCAGCTCTGGCCTTTACTTGCCTGTGCCAGGAGCAGTTGCACTGCACACGGCCCGGGGTGAGCTCCCATTAATGCAGCCGGTGATGGATGGGTCCCCTCCACCTCCTGCCCTGCCCCGGCTCGGCCCGGCCCCTCCACGCTCCAGGGCCCGGCCCAGCCCGGCATCGCCGCTGCAGTGGCTTCAGAGAACTCGCGGGAGGTTTTCTGCCTGTTGGGTGGTGAACAGGCCTCTCCTGGCTCTTCCCTGAAGGCTGGCTTGGTTCCAGACTTATTCCTCGTGCTCCTGCCATGTCTGTGAAAAGAGCTCGGGCAGTGGAATGAGGGCCGGACACGGGTCTGGCTCCCCCTGAGGCTCCCTGCACAGCCAGGCTGCCTGGAAACCCCGAGCCCCGGGCTCAGACGCCGAGGAGGTGCCCGGCGTGCTCTGCCTCAGTAAAGCGTGTTCTTTTGCAGGAACCTTGGTGAGAATGCGATCAGGTCTGTCCAGTTCGATGCCTTTGCGAAGATGAAGAACCTCAAAGAGCTGTGAGTACCTGAGGTTCTGGGCCCCCGTTAGCACCAGCAGTTTCAGAGCAAGGAATGCCTTGTTTGGATTGTGCCTTATCTTATGTAATAGTTATCACTTACCGTTGTGCTTAAGTTAAATTTCCTTTTACAAAGATTCCCTGTGGGGTTACTCTGGACCAGGGGTGAGCACACCACATTCCAGCAGTCTCCAGCTCTGGATGCCGTGGGGTCTGCCTGGGCAGTGCAGACTGGCTGTAGCGGGCGGTGGCCGTAAACTGTGTGTGAGGGGTGGGGGGCCGGGGGCCAGGCAGCTGGGTTTACAAGAGATGGCCTGGCTGCGGCTCTAAGTCAGGGGCCACGGGCTCTTTAGACCATGCAGCCACCCCTTTAATTAGGGCAGGGACACGATTTCATCTTCTGGGTTTGCTTAAAACGAAGGATGTATTGAGTGGCTGTGTTAACGAATGTGGGCTGTGAGCAAGGCAGAGGTTACTGTGGGGCATCCAGGTCCAAGACCCCTGGAGTTCACGGTGTGTGTGCGCTGTGGGCTGTCATCGTAGGCCCATGAATGACGGCTGGAGCTCCCTGTGTCCTGACTGTGGCAGAGGAGCTGGACTTGGGACCTGGGTAGCAATTCCCATGATCCTTTCCTCTTCCTGTGCAGAAATCTGGTGCTGAAGCCAGTGAGTCCTGGCCACCAAGTTGGTTCCCTGAGGTGTGGCTGCGGTTCTCACAGGAGGACCGTCTGCCCCCTGACGCTCTGGAGGCTGCTGGGAACCCCAGATTGCAGGCAGGCAGGGGCGTAGGAACCAGAGCGGGAAGCAGGCCTGGCATCACCTCGTGGTATGACTTGACTGTGAGGTTCCAGCCCATCCCGTAGGTGCGTTTCAGAGTGTCCTGTGTTAGAGCAGAGTGGGAGGAGGGGCACACGGACAGGGTGTGACGTGGCACACAGAGCTGAGCGTTGATTGTGAAGTCTAAGCAGAGAGAATGTGTTTATGTGACATTTCTTCCAACCTTTCTGCCTTTGAAACTTTTCAAATATAATGTTAAAAATACCTACGTAAATGGGAAGAGGATATTTGAGAGAAAGGGAAGGACAGGGAGATAAGATGTCCCTTTTGGCCTTCTATAAATTCCGGTTTCCTGAGACAGGGTTCTAGTTGGAAGCAGCTAGACCCTTCCAGGTGCGGACACGGCCCTCCCACCCCCGCATCTGCGGCCGGAGGCACGGCTTGGCCCTCGGCCTGCGTTTCCCATCAGGCGCTGCGCGGACCAGCTGTGCCTGGCCCCGGGCCCAGCCCTCTGCCGGGGAACTAGCGATTCCACTCGGTCGTTTTCTTCCCCGTCAGACTGAGGCAGGTTGTGCTGTGTGCTTAGTCATCCTCCGGGTAGATTTCCACAGCGGTGATGAGAAACACACTCGGAGCTGGAGTCATGGAATGCACGAGGGAGCCGCGGACAGAACGCTGGGCCGGCTGGCGGCGGCCGCCGAGGACGCTGGCGAGGCTGCGTTGGGAGCTGGGGCCGGAGGCGTTCGGTCTGCAGGGCCTTGGGCCGCTGGCAGGGTCCTTGTCCAGTCTCAGCCCAGCCTTTCTTTGCAGCGACTCGTGTGTGTGGACGGAGGCCAGGCCCTCCCTGTCCTGTGATCCTTAGGAAAGCTCTCTCTTCTCCGAGCGGCCGTGGTTTGTGCGGCCTGGGCTCCCTGGGGGCTTCATGGTGGAGGACGGGGAACCCCTCGGGAGGGATGCAGGAACGCGGGCCAGCAAAGATGCTGAGGGTGTGGTGTGAGGCTTGACCCCTTCCACACATGTTTCCCACCCAGGACCATGTCCCAGTTAGTTCCTGTGGCTCCGATGAGATCTGTCCCTGTCCCCCATTGGGTGCTGAGCGCCGCACAGGGAGGGCCCCGTGTCTGGCTGGACGTTCCTGTCCCAGCACCAGGCTCTCCTGCTGCTTGAGAGGAAGAGGCGGCACCCAGATCCCCTCCCTGGAGTGACCCGTGAGCTTCTGTCAGGGAGTGCTCCCTTCTGCTCATCACCAGGCCATTGACTCTTCAGCAGAACAGTTCCCCTCGGTCTGAGCACTGAGCTACCTGCCCACTATGGGAAGATAAAAGCTAATGCTGATTTGAAGGTTTGGCCTGGGCAAGCGTCACACTTATAATGGCTTTGAGGCAATTGCTCTGTCTTTAAAAAGCTCCTTCCCAAAGTCAGCTTAGTCCGGGGCGGCAGGAGCGGCGGGAGGCGAAGGTGTAAGTGGCTTACGGCTCAGCGTCTCTCCTGGCTGTGACCAGGCCCCAGCTCCTCAGCAGCCAGAGGGAAACGGGGAGCACCAGCTGCCTGGCTGCTTCGTGTGGCATCTGAGGAAGGCGGTGGGTGAGACGGAGCCTGATGGTGTGATGCTGGCCCATGTGACGCTTGGAATGTCCGGGCACATGTGTCCTGGGGACGGTGTGTGACCAGGAGCCCGGTGTCTCCTGGGCCCCGGGAACAGGGCAGTGAGACCCGGATTGGCTTATCTTCGAGTGACTGCTCAGGAAGGAATGTCCAGAGATGGCGATTCCGATTTCTGTTTAAAAGCGGATCCTCAGTTGCTGAGAAATGAAGATGAAAATATTCTCTGTTTTGGTTGGAGCCTCACAAAACCAAAGTGGCGCGTTCCCATGCCCCAGCAGCGCTGAGAGCTAGCTCTGGGTGCGGGACCGCGGGCCTCCTGGTGCTGGTGAGAGGCGCAGGCGGACGGCGCGGGGGCCCGCCGCCCTCCGAGGAGACATGCAGCCCTGCCCCGACGAGGCTCAGTCGTGCAGAGTGGCCTCCGCAGTCGGTGCAGCGCTGAGATCGGGTCCCGGGCCCCTGGCAGCTCCCGAGCTCACCAGGAGCCCTGCTCTCCGGCCGGAGCGTGAGCGTCCTGTCTCGGCAGAGCGTGGCTGTCGGAGGACGTGTCTGAGTGCCCATGGTCCTTGGCACGCGTGGCAGCGTCACCCGAGCGTGTTAGAGGCCGGGTCCTGGGTCTCTCCGGCCGCAGCCAGAAGCTGTGCTTTACAGCATCTCCAGGTGGATGGCCTGTGGCTGCAGAGGGACCGGGAGGGGACGGCAGGAGCTGACGGGGCGGCGGGTGCTGTTGCACTGAGAGCATTTCTCTGTTTCTCTTGCAGCCGCATCAGCAGCGAGAGCTTCCTGTGTGACTGCCAGCTGCGGTGGCTGCCCCCGTGGCTGCTGGGCCGGACGCTGCAGGCCTCCGTGACCGCCACCTGCGCCCACCCGGAGGCGCTGCGGGGCCGGAGCATCTTCTCGGTGCCCCCGGAGAGTTTCGTGTGTGGTAAGCCCGTCTGTGGTCTCTCCCGTGCCGGGCGCGGAGCCAGGAGCTCGTCCCGGGGTGGTTCCTGTGACCAGAGCGGAGCCTGGCGTGGTTTCCATCGGCCGCCGCGCGCTGCTTGCCTCCCACTGAAACCGCACGTGGGATTTACGGCCAGGCCGCCCTCACATGGCTCTTGGAGTCCACGCTGTAGGCGGAAGGGAGTGGGCTGGTTCAGTTACAAATCAGAGGAATCGGTTACAGGAAGACAGGCTGTTGTTTCAGGAGGTTCGGCGCTGTGGACTTGCTCAGTGTCTGAGGCTGGTTTTAATGTGTTTCCTTCCAACCCCAAGAATGAAAGGTTAAATGCAGGAAGAACGAGTCCCAGGAGAACATGCGCTGTAGTAAAAATAATTCCTTAATGTTGACTTGCCCTCTTGCTGTTTCTCAAACCACCGAATCTGCACTTGTAGCTTAAAATTCTTTTTCCTTCTGGTTGTTGGAACGCAGCTCTTGCTTTTGGCTCAGGGTGGTTCGGCTCCAGCACAGATAGGAGTAATGCAGTGTCCAGGGAGACGTGGTCCGAGAATGGCCACTTGTGAGCTGTTCCTGTTCCTGGTCTGTGCTCTGAGCAGGAGCGAGGTCGGGGGGGGGGGGGGGGGGGGAGGATAAGCGAGGTGGAGGGAGGGGAAGGGGGTTTCCCAGGCCTGCCTGGAGCAGCTGGGCCAGCATATGAGATGAGTCCAGCTGCCTCCATCAGTCCTCCCCGTCTGCCTGAGCTCTGGTCCCTGCTCTGGTGATCATTACCAGGAGCACCCCTAGTGATATGGGGGCCCCTGTGGGCTACTTCTTGGTCCTACACAGCCACAGCCATGTGTGCGGCCCCCCTCCCCCCCTTCTTCCGATCAGTCTGGTACAGCCTTAAAGAACCTGCCAACGTGGTTCAGCTTTTCTTACTCCTCAGCCTCCCGGGAGCTCCCACCCCTGGGGCAGGTGACTCTGTGCCTGCTGCTCCTCAGGGCTTGGTCCTTAGGGCACCAGATGGTCAGAGCTCTCTGAGGTCCAGTGCTCTGCCCTCTCTCCCTTTCCTTTCCCTTCATATGCTGCATGCAGCCTTCAGCCTGTGGCCCTGGCATGTTCTGGGTTGTAGCACCTCTTACCCCCTTGGGCTTCTACCCAGGCGTCATCAGTGTGGCAGGAAGCAAAGGTGCAAGCTCTGTGCTAGCCTTCCATCCTTTTTTATAAAATTGAGCTGTGAGCATCACACCCACTAGAGGCATCGCAGGAATCAGTTCAGATAACGAGCAAGGGTGCGGGCGGGGAGCCCTGCATGCAGGTGCGAGGGAAATGGGCAGCCGCTTGGAGACAGCCTGTCAGTTCCTCAAACAACCAAACAACAGTTCTGCTCTTAGCTCCCTGCTTAGGAGAGAGGGAAACGGATGTCCACATGAACACCTTGTACGCAGGTGCACAGCAACAGCCTTGGGATAGCCAAAAAGCAGACCCAACCAGTGCCCCTGGTGATGGATGGATAGATCTGGTGCAGCAGAGCCGTGCAGGGGAATGTCATTGGGCCGTAAAAGAGGGAGTCAGTCATACCACACAGATGAGCCTCACAAAGACCTCATGATGGAGGATTGCAGTCACAAATAGGAAAACCAGTATAGGTGGCAAGCGGATCAGTGGTTGCTGAGGGCTGGGAGGGACGGTGGGAGAAGGGATGGCAGCCCATACGAATGGGGTTTGTTGTGGAGGTGGTGAACATGTTTTTAAAATTGACTGTGATGATGGTTGCACATATTTGTCAATATACTAAAAATTATGGAATTATATACTTTAATCAGGTGAATTCCATTTCAATAAAGCTTTGTTTTAAAAGATAGAATTTTTATACCATAAAATTCACCCCTGTGAAGTGTACAATTCAGTGGTTTTCAGAATATTGAAAAGTTGTGTAACCCTCACTCTTCATTCTAAAAAATCTTTATATATCAAAATACTAGACTCTCATCAGATATATGATTTGCCAATATTTTATCCCAACCTGTGCATTTTTCATTTTTTGATGGGTGAGGCACAAAAGTTTTAAATTTTGATAAAATCCAGTTTCTCTGTTTTTTTTTTCTGTCATTTCTACTTTTGATGTCATATCTAAGAAACTGTTGCCAAAGACAAGGTCACAAAGACCTTTTCTTCTAAGAGTTTTATGATTTTAGTTGCCACATAGACTTCCACTTTTGTTTTTTTGAAGACTATTTTGACAATTGTGGTTCTCTTGCCACATAATGTTTTGGATCAACTTGTCCATCTCCAATCAACACAATTGACATTTTGAAATAGAGATTCCATTGAATCCGTAAGTTAATTTTGGGAGTATTGCTGTCTTAATATTAATTCATGAAGATGGGATCGCTTTTCGGGTATGGTTTTATTGTTTTTGTTTTGTAGCTCTTCTGTAATTTCTTTCAGTGGTTTGTGGTTTTCATTGTACACTTTACAAAAATTCTTTCTGGACTGTTTTAAATGGTATTCTTTATTTCATTTTAAAAGTTTCATTGCTAGAGCATAGAAATGCAATTGAATTTGATATGTTGATCTTGTATCGTGCAACCGTGTTAAAATAATTTATTGCTTCTAATAGTTTTTTAATAAATTCCTTAGGTTTTCTTTATTATATGATCATCATGCCATTTGAAAAAAATATAGTTTTACTTCTATTCCAATCTGGCTTTATTTTATTTATTTATTTTTGCCTAATTGCTCTGGCTAGAACCTCCAGTACATTATTGAGTAGAAGTGGTGAGGGTAGATGTCCTTGTCTTTTTTTCTGCTCTTAGGGGAAAACATTCAGTCTTTCATCATTAGGAATGATGTTAGCTGTGGATTTTTCTTAAATGACCTTTATCAAGTTGTGGAAATTCCCTTCTGATTATAATTTGTTCATAAAAACATTTCAGCTTTTCTCATGAGAGGGTGTTGGGTTTTGCCAGATGCTTTTTTTTTTTTTTTTTTTTTTTTTTTTTTTTTTTTTTTGCATCTGTTGATGCAATCAGGTGGGTTTGACTTTTATTTTTTTGAAATGGTGTAATACGTTGATTTGTGGATGTTAAACTAACCTTGTATTCCTGGGATAAATCCAGCTTGTTCATGCTGTATGATTCTTTTTACATGTTGTGGGATTTGTTTTGCTAGTATATTTGTTAAGGATTTTTTTTGTTTTCACTTGTAAAGATCTCTAGTTTTTTTGTTTTTGGTGATGTTTTGTATGGTTTGTTAATGGATAAAATACTTGCCTCAGAGAATGGAGTTGGAAAGTGTTCCCTCCTAATATATTTTTGGGGGAGAGTTTATAAAGATTAGTGATAATTTGCCTTGAAATGTTTGGTCAGGTTCAACCTTGTAGGTCTGGGCTTTTCTTTGTGGGAAGTTTTAAAATTATTAATTCAGTCTGTTTACTTGTTAGAACTATTCAAATTATACATTTATTCTCCAGTCATTTTTGGTAGCCTGTGTCTTTCTCAGAATTTGTGCATTTCAAACTGGTTGTCTAATATGTGAGCAGTTATTCATAGTAGCTCCCTGTATTCTTGTTCATCGCTGTGAGGTTGGTAGTAATGTCTCTTTTTTAATTACAAAGTCTGAGTCTTCTCTTTTCTGCTCCTACCCTTTCATCTCAGCCTGAGTGATTTCATTCTGTATTTCTTGTAAAGTAGGTCTGGTAGCAATGAATTGTCTCAGGGTTTTTTTTTTGTTTGTTTTTTCTTCTAAACCTGAGAATGTTTTACTTTCACCTTCATTTTTGAAAGGATGGTTTTGCTGGATGTAGGATTCTTATTTGGCTTTCTCTCTCTTTCAGTACTTTGGCTGTTCTTCCCGTTGCCTTTGACCTCTGTGGTTCTGGTGAGAGATTAGCTGTCACTGTTACTGAGGTCCGTTGTGTGTGATGAGTTGCTGTTCATTGCTGCTTTCAGGATTCTCTGTTGGCAACTTGACTGTGATGCACCTGGGTGTGGTCTCTGAATTTATTCTACTTGGAATTTGCTGAGCTTCTTGGATGTGTAGATGCATGATTTTTACCAACTGTGGAAAGTTTTGGGCCATTTCTTCAAATACTCTTTCTGTTCCTTTCTTCTTCTTCGTAGACTCCCATTATTTGCATCTTATTATGCTTCATGCTGTCCCACCGGCCTCTGTGGCTCTCTTCACTTTCTCTTCATTCTTCCTTTGTTTTCATTTATCAGACTGGATTATCTCAATTGACCTGTTTCAAGTTTACTGACTCTTCTGCCCACTGGCTTGGCTCTTGAGCCCTTCTAGTGGGTTTTCCATTTCAGTTATTGTACTTTTAAACTCTACTACACTTAAGATTTGATTCATGTTTGCAATTTATATGTCTTTATTGGTATTCTTTTCTTGGTGGGAAAGTACTTGCATACTTTCCTTTAATTTTCTTAGACCTGGTTTCCTTTAGTTCTTTGAACATATTTACAAAGCCAATGTAAGGTCTTTCTTTACTAAAGCCAAGAGCTTCCTTGAGGACATTGTCTGTTGACTTTTTTCTCCTGTTTCTTGGTGTGTTTTGAGGTTTTTTTGTTGAAAACCGAACATTTAAAATAATGTGAATCTGTGTTCCTCTCTTCCCCCAAGGTTTACTGTTGTCCTGTTAATTAGTTTCTTCGTTCAGTGACTTTCTGGATGGACGTTGTAAAGCCTGTTCCATGAAGCCACTGAAGTCTCTCCCTGGTTACATCTTTAAGTCATGTCAGCCAGGAAGTCTCCGCCCTTTGTGCATCACTCCCTGTTTGCATGGATCCTGTTAGGGCCAGTTACAGGCAAGGAACTGTGCTGGGAGCACAGCCCTGCACATGCGTCTCTGCCCTCAGGAACATGGCGGACCTCTCCAAAGCCCTGCAGCACTGCAGTCACCTGGTTTTCCATTTCCATTTCTGGCCGGCCTCTTGTTGCCCCAACGGTATCACTTGCCAGCGGGGCTGCTGCTTTCCTGGCATGCCCTCAGGGTGGGGCTCCCCTGCTGAGCAGAGCATCTGTCCGATAAACATGCCCTGAGGGTGGGCTTAGGGGGAGGCTGCGAACCATCCTGCCTCAGTGATTGCTAAGTGGCTGGCTTCCAGGATACCACAGGCTGGAGAGCGGGATAAAATGCCACAGAGCTCCCTTTTCTTCTAGAGATTCATGCATTTCCTGGACCCGCACCCTGTGGGTTGTTGTCGCCTCTGGTAGAGTCTTTGGGGATAAAATAGCTTTTTCCCAGAATTCTGAAGCAGTAGACCCTTTGGCTAGTGTTTTGCTTGCTTTGACGCAGGTACATATTTCACAGGTCTGCGTTCTGGCACAATAGCATAAAGCTTGTTGGGGAGGTCTGTGGTGAGGTCTGTGCAGTCCCATCCAGTTCTGAATCTGCTAAGTGTGTTAAACAAGGAGCCCGCTGGCTGCTTTGCGAGTGACCAAGGCGTGTGTGATCTCGGAGGTGATCGCTGCTCCTGGGTGTAACACTGGACAAGACAGGCTCTCCAGGTGGGAGGGAGTCCCTCCGTGTCGGTGGAGCTGAGGACTTGCTGTCCCTGCTGGAAAGGCAGCTGGTGCCTCCGGGCCCTCAGTGCCGGTGACTCACGGTGGCTCTTCTCTCCCCAGAGGACTTGCCGAAGCCACAGATCATCACCCAGCCGGAGACGACAGTGGCCGTGGTGGGCAGGGACGTCCGGCTCACCTGCTCGGCAGCCAGCAGCAGCAGCTCCCCCATGACCTTCGCCTGGAAGAAGGACAGCGAGGTTCTGGCCGACGCCGACATGGAGAACTTTGCCCACGTGCGGGCGCAGGACGGGGAGGTGATGGAGTACACCACCATCCTGCACCTCCGCCACGTCACCTTCGGGCACGAGGGCCGCTACCAGTGCATTATCACCAACCACTTCGGCTCCACCTACTCGCACAAGGCCAGGCTCACGGTGAACGGTACGCAGGCCCCGGCTGCCCCGGGCTCGGCCCTGCACGCCCACATGCGGCCATTCTGGGTTACCGTGCGGAGGGCCCGAGCCGGACTGCATGGGGTCACCGTGGCCTGGGTGGGCCTCAGGGCAAGCTCTGAAGCTTCTCAGCGGAGTCTTTGTTTTGGGGATAAAATAACTTTTATCCACTTATTAAGTGACACTGTGGGCCCAAGCCTTGTATTTTTATCCATTTATTATTCTCCATCAAACAAGATGTCTGGTATCCAGATCCAGGGCTGCCCTCTGAATAGATGGCACAGCCTTGGCGCCAGGGGCCGGCCCGGGACAGGTCAGCCAGCGGTGGCAGCGCGCCCGCCTCTGAGGCTGTGGAGTGCGAGCTGGTGTAATGCGGCCCGAGGGAAGCATCCTGGGGGTGTCGGACAGGGTTTTTCACTCAGACACAATCTCAGAGCCGTCAGGTTGATTTGCTGTAGTGAGTTTAGGGCAGAGGAGGAGTTAGCCACCCCAACCCAACTTAGCCTAACTAGATGTTCCTGATTATTAAACTTCTGATTAAAAGTGCTGGAACCAGTGTTCTCAGGCCCTTGCAGACCACAGAAACATACCCGTCACCACACTGGCTGCTTCTCTGGGCTTTTCAGGGGACTCTTCGTTTCTCAAAAACCCAGTGAGCTGTCAGCCTCTCCAGCAAATAACCTTGCTAGGCAGTGGCTGGATGCTGACCGTGTGGGGCATTGGGATCAACATGTGGGACCAGTGCTTTCAGCTTCGTGTGCAGGGCCGTGGCTCACACCCTCCAGCCAGGACTTCAGGAGGGAGCTCTCCCTTCTCAGGGGCAGGGCCCCCCCCCCCCGCGTCAGCGCCTCCTGCTGGAGTAGCAGTTCGGTTTCCCAGGCTCTCCTGCCCGCGCTTACGTGGACAGGAGCCAGGCCTGCATTTGCGGGGTGTCCTGGGACGGACTGATCACCATGCGAGGGCACCTGAGACCCCGATGGATGTGCTCTGCTGTGGCCAGAGCAGCTGGCAGCCTGGGGGACTGTGGCTGCTCATTCTGAAGTGGCCGTCTTGGGGGTAGGCAGACCTGGCACACAGGGTAGTAAGGTGGCGAGCGACACCCAGACATGGGAGGGCTGTTGCCAGAGGGTTTTCCTGGCCATGGTTCTGGCTTCCCCGTGATCTGACCTGACTGTGTTATAGTGTTGCCATCGTTCACCAAAATGCCGCACGACATCGCCATCCGGACTGGCACCACGGCCCGCCTCGAGTGTGCCGCCACCGGCCACCCGAACCCCCAGATCGCCTGGCAGAAGGACGGAGGCACCGACTTCCCCGCCGCTCGCGAGCGACGCATGCACGTCATGCCTGACGACGACGTGTTCTTCATCACGGACGTGAAGCTCGATGACATGGGGGTTTACAGCTGCACCGCCCAGAACCTGGCCGGCTCCATCTCGGCCAACGCCACCCTGACTGTCCTGGGTTCGTCTGCGGCTGCACTTGGTGCATGCGTGTGGGGTGTGGGTGTGGGTGTGAGGTTTTCTTAAACTTCACAACTAGAGTCGATGTTCTTCAACCATCTGTGATCCTGGTGTGGGCAGTGTGGTGGCTGTTTGTATTTTAATATTTTAGGCCCCTTATAAGATTTCTTTTTGAATAAGTGGTTCCATCTCTTTAAAAAATAGGGTTTTGGTATAAGACAGTATAAAACACTCTAGATGAGAACTGCTCTGGAAGAGACAGGGAGACTCAGGCCATCACAAGCGAGCTGCAGACAGTAGATGGAGACATGGGCTGTCACGGGAAAGCTGGGGACAGTAGATGGAGACACGGCCATCACGGGATAGCTGGGGACAGTAGGTAGAGACATGGGCCATCATGGGACAGCCGGGGACAGTAGATGGAGACGGGCCGTCACGGGACAGCCGGGGACAGTAGATGGAGACACAGGCCGTCACGGGACAGCCGGGGACAGTAGATTGAGACGGGCTGTCATGGGACAGCTGGGGACAGTAGATTGAGACGGGCTGTCATGGGACAGCTGGGGACAGTAGATGGAGACACGGGCTGTCATGGGACAGCCGGGGACAGTAGATGGAGACATGGGCTGTTACGGGAAAGCTGGGGACAGTAGATGGAGACACAGGCCGTCACGGGACAGCCGGGGACAGTAGATGGAGACATGGCCGTCACGGGACAGCCGGGGACAGTAGATGGAGACACAGGCCGTCCTGGGACAGCCGGGGACAGTAGATGGAGACACAGGTCGTCATGGGACAGCCGGGGACAGTAGATGGAGACGGGCTGTCACGGGACAGCTGGGGACAGTAGATGGAGACATGGGCTGTTACGGGAAAGCTGGGGTCAGTAGATGGAGACACAGGCCATCACGGGACAGCCGGGGACAGTAGATGGAGACACAGGCCGTCACGGGACAGCCGGGGACAGTAGATGGAGACACAGGCCGTCATGGGACAGCCGGGGACAGTAGATGGAGACGGGCCATCACGGGACAGCCGGGGTCAGTAGATGGAGACACAGGCCATCACGGGACAGCCGGGGTCAGTAGATGGAGACACAGGCCATCACGGGACAGCCGGGGACAGTAGATGGAGACACAGGCCGTCACGGGACAGCTGGGGACAGTAGATGGAGACGGGCCGTCACGGGACAGCCGGGGTCAATAGGTGGAGACGGGCCGTCACGGGACAGCCGGGGTCATTAGATGGAGACACAGGCCGTCACGGGACAGCCGGGGACAGTAGATGGAGACGGGCCGTCACGGGACAGCTGGGGTCAGTAGATGGAGACACAGGCCGTCATGGGACAGCCGGGGTCAGTAGATGGGAGCTCGTTCTTGCTGCAGCAACCCCACCTGGGAAAGACTTGGCCATGCCAGCAGGGCCCGGAAAGTTTGTCCTGTGACAAAAGATCTGGTGCAGCCTTTGCTGATGTGTTGGCTTGTCTGTCTAGGAGCCCAAGGCCCACAGAGTAACGGTCCTGTCTCTGCCTTGCAGAGACCCCGTCCCTGGCGGTGCCCTTGGAAGACCGTGTGGTGTCCGCGGGGGAGACGGTGGCGCTCCAGTGCAAGGCGGCGGGGAGCCCTCCGCCCCGCATCACCTGGTTCAAAGGGGACCGCCTTCTGAGCCTCACTGAGCGTCACCACTTCACCCCCGGCAACCAGCTGCTCGTTGTGCAGAACGTGGGGGCCGAGGATGCGGGCCGGTACACCTGTGAGATGTCCAATGCCCTGGGCACCGAGCGGGCACACAGCCAGCTGAGCGTGTTGCCCAGTCCTGGCTGCAGGAAGGACGGGACTACCGTGGGCATCTTCACCATCGCTGTGGTGTGCAGTGTGGTCCTGACGTCCTTAGTCTGGGTGTGCATCATCTACCAAACCCGGCGGAAGAGGGAGGAGTACAGTGTCACCAACACAGGTACCTGCTGGCGGCTGGCTTCGGGGAGGGAAGCAGGGACCTGGGGAAGGCCGTGCAGGGCTTTCTGTACGTGTGAACTCTCTAGGACCTCAGGGAACCTACAGCCATTCTGGACAGTGACCTTTAGTGTTTTAACTCCCAGGAATGGGACATTAGATGGGAAGGCTGTCAAATGCAGCACGGGGAGCTCTGCAGGCTCCACCTGGGGTGGTCAGAGGCGTCCTGGGCGGGTGCCTCGTTGCCGTAAGGGCCGTTACTGCACAGCTCCGTGTCGGTCACTATCCCTGCCATCACTGCTTCCTCTGTGCCTTGGGATCTGCTGGCCACAGCTTTCACTCCTGGCGAGAGTGCACTGAGGAGGCTCCTGAGCAGGACTCCAGGCTCTGCATGGCCGGGACTGCTCCCTGGGGTCCTGTGTCTGTGACCTTGTCACCACAGGACTGGGCCTGGGATGACTGTCCTGTCTCCTTGCAGATGAGACCGTGGTGCCGCCGGATGTTCCGAGCTACCTGTCTTCTCAGGGGACCCTTTCTGACCGGCAGGACACTGTGCTCAGGACCGAAGGTGGCCATCAGGCCAATGGGCACGTCGAGAGCAATGGTAAAGCCACAGTCTGATGCACTGTTCCCAGGGCGTTCCCTTGAGCATATTTGACCTGGGAGGCAGGTGACCCGAACCTCTGGGTTTTTGGACTTCCCTTTGCAAGTCAACCCAGCCCCTAGGAAGTCCCTCTGTTGGGCTCAGTGCCTCTTAAGAGCCTTAGCTCCTCCCAGCAGCTCTCCCGGGTGACCGCTCGTGGGGACAGCGTGTGCTCGGCACCCGTGGCCCCGGGGCCTCCTGTGCGGCTGCGGCAGGGCTGCTGCTGGGAAGGAGTCTCGGGAATGGCCTGGGCCACCCCTCGAGGGGCATTTAGAAACACCCGTCTTCCAGCAGCGATGCCCACTCTTTTCATAGTGTGCCCGTGAAGTGCTGAGCCCGGCGCTTCCAACAGTGGCGCTCTGTTGCAGGTGTCTGTCCGAGAGACGCAGGCCTCTTTCCAGAGGCCGATGGTCCCGGCATCACGTGCAGGCAGCCCCGGCTCTGTGTTGGGTACAGCAAGGAGCCGTGGAGAGCGACAGAGAAAGCCGGCGGCACACCTGGTCCACAGAAGATGGGTGAGATGCTTTCTCAGGAAAAGGGTTTTGTTCCTCAGATCCCAGTCTGGGTTGACCTCAGAGTGAGGCATTATGGGTCTAAGGCCATCCCAGGGTTGCGTTTTCATGTGAAACAGGAAGTGGGGTGGGGCCTGGCTCCGAGTGTGCGGGGGATGTCTCTAAAATACCCGGTGGCCCGGACTTTCCCGACTTTCAGCAGGCCCTGTGGAGGCTCCTTGCTGATGGCTCAGAAGCTCCTGATGCTGCGAGGAGCCATTCAGATAGGATTTCTCCCTGTGATCCCAGTAGACTGATGAAGAAATTAAATCGGAAATAAGCATGGAAGGCCCTATGTTTAGCCCCGGGGGTTGTGGTGACCTCAGCGGGCCCGCCCGTGCTGGGGTGCAGCAGGCTGGGGGTGGAGGCCCAGGCGCTGGTGCTCAGTCTCCACCGTGTCTTGCAGAGCCCGATGGCCCGGCTGTATGCAGTGACAGCAACACTGACGTGGACACTTACTCCAAGGACCACGCCTTCTGTCCTCAGCCGACGTCCAGGGACAGCACACAGCCAGACACACCGAGCAGCCAGGAGCCTCACAGGAGTGACCGAGAACATTCTCCATGTCCGAGCAGTCTCCACAGTGGGACTGGTGATGGGTCTCACCCGGACTGCAGGGAGTCCCTCTACCCTAGTAACCACGACAGAATGCTGCCGCCCTGGAAGAGAAAGCCAGGGGCGCCTCCGGAGGGGAAAGGTGAGCCTTCACTGCCTTCCCGTCTCCAGCAGGGGGCAGCACGGAAGCGCCAGGCCAGCTCTGATGGGCCCTCTCCTTTCTTGCAGGGGCCCTTCCGTGGATGTTCGCAGGGGTGTGTGAGCCAGACTCCATGGACCCCCAGCCAACACTGACCCCGGGCAGTTCTGAGCCTACACGAGCCACCCTGGACTCTCCAGACGCCCCCAGTGAAGGTCGGCACTTGCTTCTGCCGAATGGACACGTCCCCACGGCAGGTGACTCCAGTCCCGAGTCCACGCCACTGACAGGACAGCCACCCGGGAGGCGGAGCGGGCCGCTGCTATTTGCCCCGCGGGCCTAGGCGCTGTGTCTCCAGGAGGGAGGAGGCGTGTTGTTGGGAAGCTTGGGTTCAAGCGTCACTCTGTACAGTTTTAACTTCCGTGGGGAGTGTCTGTAGTGTAAAGGACTTGCAGTTGAAGCACAGAATGCAGGAGGCTGTGGTGTACATAAGAGTTTTCAAAGGTTTCATATATATTATATATCTTTTACAAAGGATATTTTAATCTTTATTGCATGGTTAACAAAAAATCGTACAGTTTTGACAATATTATTTTTCATATCAGGTTGCTGTTTCATTTTGGAATGTGGGGATAGTTCTGGTGCCTTAATGCATGGGTGGGATTTATAGATGCTAAAACCACATTTGCTTCTGGGGTGGTGTGGGGAGGAGGCGGCCCTCGGACTCCATCACACGTGGCAGGGCAGACCCGGATGCTTCACGGGCAGACCCGGGTTTGCGTCGGGAGTAACTCACGTCGGTCACAGGAGCTCAGGGTGCTGCTCGCGGACCTCCTCCCTCGCCCAGACCTCGCACGCCATGCTCTCTGCACGGAGACACTTCCTCAGGCTTGAGCTCTTCCTGAACAAGCGCGTGGGGGTGTTAATCACGCAGCCTGTGGTCTGAACTATTAGCCCGCCCGCCTGCTTCTGTGATAAAGCGAATGTTTGTCAGGATCACTTGATTGTCATTTGCGGCTTTTTGATAAGATAGAGGCTGCTGCTGTGGGTACCTGTGGATTTTTCAGTAGTGATGTGTTAGTTCTGCCAACGTGATGAGTATTACGTGGGTGTTAGGGAGAACGGGGATCAGGTCCTCACTTTCAGGGCGAGGGGGCTAATCTCCACGGAGCATCCGGGCGCCCTGTGCGCTTCCCTCCCTTGCACAGACGAGCCCGTGCCTTGGGCTCTGGGGGATTTGCACTTGGGAGGCCTGGAGCTAACCACCTGTGAGTGCCAATGGGCTTTGTGGGAAAACTGCATTCACACTAACAAGGTCCTTAGAAGCCGGCAAGCAAAGTCCTTCAGCCGGTGCCTGAAGCTCTAGTAGGTACTGACAAAATGGTTACGTGTTAATTCACTGTCAGATAATCACTGTCCCAAAGGTAAGCACAGTTAGAATTTTGTTCTCAACACTTAACTGATGTTACTTCCACAACATGTGAATTTGCTGCTTCTGAGAGGCAATGTGAAAGAGGAAGTATTACTTTTATGTACAAAGTTATTTATTTATAGAGATTTTGGTACAATGTACATTGAAAAACGTGTAAAATACTGAGTGTCTAACAAGGGCAGTGAAGTGTCTTTAATAAAGTCCACTTACAAAGTTAAGTGTGCGGCTCGGCTCATGTGTACATTAGCCAGCACTGCCTCGCCCTCGGAGTCCAGGAGCCCTGACAAGTGCCGTCCCTCTGCCGGGACCGCCTTTGGAATCAGCGATGACGCAGCAAAGCGGCCCCCGGCAGGCTGTGTGAGGTTCCTGGGACTCCAATTTTCTGGAGCTTATCAGTCAAGCTCTATAACGGGGACCTTCCCCATCCATCCTACTCTCTCCCAAGGTGAGCTCAAAACTCCGGGCAAAGCTGACGGACTGGGAACTAAGAAATGACACTGCGAAGCCGGCCCAGCTGCCTTCAGGCCCCAGCGTGCCCTCCCCCTCCAGCCCTGGGGCCCACCGGTCACTGAGCGCCACTGCTCGATGCTTCCATAGGTCACCTGGGCCGCTGGACACCTGTCAAATTCAACTATTCTCATGGGTTAAATCTGCGGGTCGTTGAGAACAGCCGGGTTTCCAGCTCACAGGCCCTGTAGTCACGCTTTCTAAACAAAGCTGTGAGCTTACAAAGAGCTTACCTCACATGACAGTCTCCTGTCCTCCTCTAGCCCTTCCTCCGAAGGTACCCCTCTGCCTGCCTTCAGTCCGCTGCCGGGCGGCAGGGAAGGAGGGGCAGACACAGTCAAATGAAAGCTCGGAGGGGCCGGCCTCAGATCACCAGACTTATTTATTAAGGGTCCTGGGAAAACCGTTAACAGAACTGCTCTTGGCATCGTTTTCTCTCTCTTTAACTTTTGGGCAAATACGTAGATGACGTCATCCCAGCCGCCTGTGGCCTGGAAGTCGTGCTCCGTGTGGGCCTGCGGGGACGGCTTCACTGCACGCGTGTTCAGAGGGCCCAGCGGCTGTGGGAGGGGGACCTCTCACCTTGGCCCCCTGAAGGTGTGGCTGCAGGAGGGGGAGCGCTCACAGTGGCCCCCTGTGGCATGCAGTTCACGGGCTCTCTCTGCCGAGCTCTAACAGCAAGCTATGCGTTTGGTCATAAGCGCCAAGAAAGATGAAGCCTCCCAGGCTGATGGCTGCCATTCGCGGGAAGACCCCTGCAAATAATCTGGGGGGGAAAAGCAAAGGAGAGATTTTTTCTTGTGTGTGTAAAGAAGGTGAAATTCCAATACCCACAGCTTGTTCAGTTCAACACACCACGCTCACTAAACCCCACACAGTATTAGAAGGTGTGCTTTTCCTTTTAGAATAGCACCACGTACATTCCCAAGTAGACCTGTTGGTGAATGTGGCTACAGACCAAACAGCTTGCTTGTGAGTGCTCACAAGTCAAATAATTAGTCAAGAAATAGTAGCCCTGAAATTCTGGTGGAGAGAAACCAAGATGGCGGCATAGGTAACCGCCCAACTGCAGCCTCACACAACAATTTCAAAAAATACAACTAAAATATAAAGTGGACATTATCCAGAACTACAGGAAAGTTGACTGACTAGAAATTCTACAACGAGAAGGAAAGAGAAAACCAGAAGGAAAATCAGAGGAGCTGTAAAGGCTTAAAGTACGGAGACACGTTTGCACGGAGAGGACGGAGCTGGAGAGGAGGGGGAGGCTGAATGCCTGGCTGGTGTTCCCTAGCAGGAAGGAGTTAAAAGCTCTGGACTGCTGTTAACCCCACTTCCAACTGCACTGAACCCCAGATGCGGGCTCGTTGTGGGAGAGACTAGACTGTCTGGTAGTGGGTGAAACTCTAGGGCACCTTTCTCTCAGAGGTGCTTGCAGCGAGTACCGAAGGACACTGAGGAACAATGAGACTCAGGAACCTCATAGGGTGGGGTTAACCGGAAGCCAAGGCTGTAGGCTCCACCCTGAAACTCTGCCCCATCCAAGCTGAGCACAGAGGCTCTTGCAATTTTCCAAGTCTAATCGAATAAGCCTGTCTTCTGGCATAGATACAGCTGATCCTCCCACCCTACCAACTCAGGGAAGCAGCAAAAATGCCGAGACAAGGAAACAGATCACAAACGAAAGAAAAAAGGACAAAAAGCGACTGGATATAGAGTTCAAAACCACGCTTAAAAGGTTTTTCAGGAATCTCCTAGAAAAAGCCAATAAAATAAAAAAGACCTATGAAGATATGAAAAGGGGTCAACTAGAAATAATAAAGGATCAACTAGAAATAAAGAATACATTCTCTGAAATAAAAAAATATTATAAAGAGTCCTAAAAACAGAATGGAAGATTGCAAGAATCAGGTAAAAGATTTGGAACACAAAGAGCCAGAGGACACTCCTCTGAAGAAGCAAGAAGACAAGAGAATCCAGAAAGTTGAGGATGTGTAAGAAACCTCTGGGACAACTTCAAGCGAACCAACATCAGAATTATGGGGGTCCCAGAAGAAGAGATAGAGCAAGATACCGAAAACATATTGATATAGGGACAGAAAACTTCCCCCACCTGATGAAAGAAATAGACTTATAAGTCCAGGAAATGCACAGAACCCCAAACAAAAGGAATCCAAAGGGGACTACACCAAGACACATCATAATTAAAATGCCAAGAGCAAAAGACAGAGAATATTAAAAGCAGCAAGAGAAAAGTAGTTACCTATAAGGAGCACCCATACGATTGTCAGCTGATTTCTAACAGAAACCATGCAGGCCAGATGGGAATGGCAAGAAATATTCAAGGTGATGAATAACAAGAACCTACAGCCAAAAATACTCTACCCAGCAAAGCTATCACTCAGAATCGAAGGCCAGATAAAAAGCTTCACAAATTAAAAAAAGCTAAAGGAGTTCATCACCGCCAAACCAGAATTATATGAATAGCTGAAGGGGGTTCTTTAGGAAGAGGAAGAAAATAAAGGTAAAAATTATGAACAACAAATACGTAACTATCAACAAGTGAATCTAAAAACCTGATGAACAGTATTAACTGTTGAATATAATAGAATCAGAGGTACGGAAGGGGAGTGGACTGACAATTCTTGAGGAAAAGAGGAGTTGGGGGTGCAGGAAGAGCCTGAACAAAAATTGTGCACCTATGGATGAGGACAATGGGGGTTGGGGAAAGGGCAGAGGGTGGGGTGGGAACTTGGTGGAGGGGAGAAAATGAGGAACTTTTGTAATAATATGAACAATAAAGATTTATTAAAGAAAGAAAGGAAAAAGAAATAGTAGCCCTGTCCCCACAATAGTCCTGTTTAAACCTCCAGACCGTATTTGCCTTTTAGAAATGATGGAACGAACTTGGATAAGGAGTCAAAGGACACACTATGCTGGAAGGCCAGGTGGTCTTGGGGTTAGAGGAGGTTTCAGATGACTCGGTTGATCCTCCCAGTGACTCAGGCACATTGGGCCCTGAGAGACCACCAGGAGGATGCACAGCAGGGGACCGGAGAAGAAAGGAAGGGGCTGGGAAGGGAGTAGAAGGTTAGCCCCTAAACAACTCAGGAGGAGTCACTGGGACAGTTGCAACTTTGGAATAATTATGGCAATGCAAGCTAACAGTCGTGCTCCCAAGACAAACTGGAATTACAACTAAAATACAAAAGACCCAACTCTGAAAAATCAAGGTTGGAGAGAACCCTGACAACTGAGGATGGAAAGCAGACACTGCATAGAGACTGGTAGGAGGGGCAGAGGCGAGAAAGGGCTGGAGGGTTCCCAGTCAGCAGCTGAAGACCAGAGGGATATGTCAGCTATGGGGGACTCCCACTGAGAACTCTGGGGGCCCCCATGGGCTTCCCAGCAGAGAGCACCAGAACTGAGAATGGTACCCACATAACACCTGGTTGTGAAAAGCAGCAGGGTTGCTGCCTGCCAGGAAGAGAGGGCAGGAAATACAGGCACCCTGTATTTAGTAAAGGGCCAATACACAAAATTCCATGTTCAGCCACTCACCTTGTGCTCCAACAGGGGGCGAGCAGAGTGGCTGGAGCTGTATACACATAAGCCAGGGTTGGGGATCCTGGTATAGAGTTCGGAAGGCAGACACCTCAGTTTCCTATGCTGAGTCATTCCCTCACACTGTGGAGGTTATACCTTTCTCAGGCCAACTTTTGTTATCCTGCTGGTTTTGCCTGGGGGGAAGACAGTTGACCCACTCAAGTGGAAAGTCCCTTGCCCCATACTGTGGAGTTTCTGAGGCCTGTTAAGAGACTGAGAATAACAACTAGCCTCCAGGGAGAAGCAATTGCCCCACCCTATTGGAAAACCTCTCACCCCACCTATGAACGATTGCATGAGGATATCCAAGACTGACTTCAATCTATCTCCAGGCAGAGGCGAGTCTCTGGAGGCTTTGAGTCTTTGCCTGATCTAATTAGTAACAGCTATTGGGTCCCCACTGCCGACATTATCCCAGACTGCTCAGGCAGAAAAAAGCCAGCAAGAGCCATAGCACCTGCAGCTGACACCTGTGGAACCAGCTCTTTGGGGGAAGGAAGCACAGCACAGAACAAAGTCAATCAAAGCAGACTCAAAGCAGGTCCAGGTTATGGATAAGGAGTCCCCAAACACTGGGCAGCTGGCATGATGACACTGGGGTTGAACCTCTGGTGGCAAGTTGGAAGGGAGATCCCTCCTACAAATGGGACATCGATAATCAAGTCCTAATTACAGCAAGAGAACACAACACACACAAGAGGCATTCTTAGAGCATCCAGCTAAGGAGAACAAAGAAACTACACCACAGGACCCCTCAAGACACTTTCTACATATGACCATCCCACAAGACTTGGAGGCATCGCAGTTCTATGTAAGAAATAGAAGCAAATACAAAGAGATCTAATATGTGGAGACAGAAACCCCCAAATGAGAGAAAAGAAGGAATCTCCAGGAAAAAAACTAAATGAGGTGGAGACAAGCAACCTATCAGACATAAAGTTCAAAGCAATGGTTATAAAGAACTTAAAGGACTTAGCACAAATTGCAGCAGCATGAAAAAGGAAACAGAGTCCATAACAAGACAGAAATGAAGAGTGATCCATCTGATGCGAAGAACACACTGGAAGGGATTAGAAGTAGATTGGAGGAAGCAGAGGGCCGAGTCAGCAATTTGGAAGACAAGGTAGAAATACCTAATTAGAGCAGCAAATAGAAAAAAAAAAAATATTAAAAAGCGGGAAGATAGCTTAAGGGAGCTCTAGGATAACATGAAATATAACATCCACATGACACAAATACCAAAAGGGAAAGAGGATGAGCATGGAACAGAGAACCTATATAAAGAAATGATGATAGAAAACTACCCCACCTTGGTGAAGGAAAATGTCACACAAATTGAGGAGGCAGAGTCCCAATGAAAATGAAACCAGAGAGACCCACAACTAGACACATCGTAATTAAAATGGCAAATGCTGCCAAAACTGGTTTGGCTCAATGGATAGAGCGTCGGCTTGGGGACTGAAAGGTCCCAGGTTCGATTCCGGTCAAGGGCATGTATCTTGGTTGTGGGCATATCCCCAAGAGGCAGCTGATCAATGACTCTCATCGATGTTTCTAACTATCTCTCTCCCTTCCTCTCTATACAAAATCAATAAAATATATTTTAAGAAAAATAAAATGGCAAATGTTGAAGACAAAGAATCTTAAAGGCAGCAAGAGAGAAAATTACATAAAATGGAGTCCCCATTAGAATGTCAACTGACTTCTCAAGAGAAACATTTCAAGCCAGAGGGAGTGGAGTGAAGTACTCAAAGTAATGACAAGCAAGGGCCTGAATCCAAGACCACTGATTTCAGCGAGGCCATCATGTAAAATCGAAGGAGAAATAAAAAGCATTCTCTGCCTGTGTTTCTGGGATAACTGAGCTTTTTAACCAAGAGTATTACTTTTTTAACCAAGAATATAAGGAAAACAAAATTACAAAATCAGAAATAAATTTACTAGTGAAAAGATCAGGTCTAGGGAAGAAAATGGACAACAGCCAGGCTATGCCAAGAGCAGTTTCTTTTTCCAGAGACGGGGAAGCCACCGTGGAAAGCTCGGCCGTGGCCCCCACACAGCAGCAGCAGGAGCTCTCCTGCCTGGCCACGCTGCCCAGCTGCCTCCTGTGTGCACTGTGTTGCAGGAGGGCAACTTGCCTCCCTCGTGTGCAGAAAGTGG